CGCCCAAGGCGAAGCCGTCGCTCGTGGTCGGGGAAGCCGACGGCGCGGCCAGGTTCGCAGGCGCCCATGTCATCGCGCACAACCCAACCACGTGGCACTATTGCAAGGACGGGTGCGGCGTGATCTCCTGCTTGGTTCCGGCCCATGAGGATCGTCGCACACGAGCACGTTGCCAAGGCCATGGGCGGCGAGTGCCCGCAGACGCTCGTTAACATAATTCTGGACCCCTCGCGAGCGCGCGCCACTACGTGTGATGTAGGCGCCACGGGGGCAAGCAGCACGGCGACGCGGAGTATTGGCTCAGGCCGGGTGCCTCCATATAAAAACCCGAGTGGGTCAACTTGGGGAGCAAACAAAAGAGGGGGTTGCCGACGTAGCAGACCAAGATCATCGAGCTCGCTATGGAAGCGGAGCTCGCGAATCACAGGGATGGGCTAGTGGCCCCGCGCGTCGACCTGGAGAAGGTTTACGAGGGTAACCTGAAGGACGAGCGTTTCGGCGCTGCAGAAGACATCGCGATTGCTCTTGGCGGGGGCAACCACAGGATGCACGTGTGCCCGCAGTGCAGAGCGGACCCCCCCTCAAGCCGCAGCAGTGGGTGCGCTGTGCGCGGTGCCAACGCTACCGGACGAGCCGGGGGGTGCCGCCGCTGGAGGCCCCTGGAGGTGCGCGCGCTGCGGCCGCAGGTGATCGGAGGAGGGCGCCGTCGCGCGGGAGCTCCGCGCCATCATCTCTCCCCGTCGCATATTCCATCATCGAGGAGGGCGGCGTGGAGTCGGCCAGGGACGGAAAGGATGAGCGCCTCGAGTATACAAGGTGCTCGCCTGCCTGCCCCCGTTCTTCGACATCTCGGACTCCAGGGGCAACCCGATGGCCGAGTCGGGCAGGAAGAAGGGGCAGCTTGCGAGGCGGCGGGGGTGCGTGCTCGAGCGCCAGCAGCTGGCCGCAGAGAGCTTGCCCGAGCGCCACAGCAAGCTCTGATCGAGAAGGCGCGGCGGGGCTCGACGAGGCGCCCGGGCAAAGGCGGCGGCAGCGCCCCGCGTGCCTTATCGGGGCGGGGGCGCCGCCGTCGCATGGGAAAGTCGCTTGCGCGGCCCGGGGCAGCAGGCCACCGCGAGGCGACGGCGCGCCGCGCCCCCAGTTGACCGCGAGGCGCGGGCGGCGCGCGGGGAATCCTCGCCCGCGCTCTTCGGCGGGGGCCTCGCCGGCGCGAGAACGCGCGAGGCGGCCGCCGCGCGGCCCAGGGCGCATCGGGAATCATGATCACCTGGTGCCGGGGCCCCCGGGCTTAGGGCCCCGCGCCGCTGCAGCGCCCCTCGCCCGCTGCCCTCTGGCTCCGCGGGGGCCCGGCGGGGCGCGCGCCCGCAGGGGGGCCCCCAGAGCCTGTCGACAGGCGGGCGCCCGCCGACCGCGGAGGCGACTGCCCGCGCGCGCCCCCTCTATCCGCCGCGGGCGGGGACAGGGCCTTCGACGAGGGGGGCGCGCCCTCGCGGAAGTGCCGGGTCCTTTGGCCGCGCGTTGCCCCCCTTTTGTCTGTTTGATCGTCGCGCTGTCGAGATTGCAGGATCGCTGCGCAACGACTGGCGGGGCCCTGTGGGGGGGGCAGGGCTTCGGCGCCGTGCGCGCTTTCCGCCCATCTGATCGTTGTGCGGTCGGCGCACCGCGGTCGTCGCGCGATCTGTGGCCGCTTGCTGCCCGGGGGCTGAGGCCGCGCTGACCTCCGGCGCCGTCAATCTGGATGCGCCTCGCAGGCCGCCCCCTCTCGGGGCGCGCGGGCCTCGTGGCGGGCCGCGCAGGCGTTCGTGCTCAGCGCAGCCCGCGCGCCCGCGAGCGCGGGGGGGCTCGCCTGCGCGCCGTCGCGGGCCCCGCGAGGCATGCGCGGGCGGGCGCGCCGGGGTCGCCGGAGGAGGGGCGGCTGGCGGGCGCCGAGGAGGCCCTCGGCTTCGAGCGAATGGAAGAAGGCTCGGACAGGTGGGCGAGAGTTACGAGAAAGGTCCTCGGGCGGACCTTCGAGCGCGAGCGCCGGGCGTCGCTGGGCCGCCGCTTGGGGGGGTTAAGGACAGAGGCGAGCGGGGCCTCTGAAGACATGGCCAGCCCCGACCGCGACGGGCCCGCCCGCCAGACAGGTGCAGCGCAGATGAAGGCGAAGGGCCAGGCGCCCCCAGTTTCGGGCAGCAGCCGCCTGACCTGACGGGGCGCGGTCCTGCAGTAGCGGCGAGGCGACGGCGAGCGCGGGCGGCGACCCGTCGCGACAGGGGCCTCGACGGCGCGCGAGCGAGGGCGGGCCGCCGCGCAGCCTGAGGGGCATCCAGGGCAGGGGGCCGCCGCGCCTCGCTCGCGCCCTCCGCCAGCCGGGGCGCGCGGGCTCAAGGCCGGGAGGGGCGTCGGCGGCGCCCTGGAACAACGAGACGCGGCCGATGGAAGGCGAGGGCGAGAATGCGACGACCCCTCCAGTCAGCGGCGAGGCGGGGGGGGCGCAGCCGGGGCCACGCGAGGAGCG